GTTTATGTTGAATTTTGTCCAGCTCTGCCAACATTTTCTTCGGCTCAATCAGGGAGGGGTGTACCTTTCCTTGATTAATATCCGTTACAAGCGCGAGGGCTGCGGATTGCAGATTTTCCGCTTCGTCAATCCAGTTTCGCACTTGATTTATCAGCATGAAGAACCTTATAGCTTTTTTAAAGATGAGAAAATTCTTCTTCAATGTGTCAGCCTCAATCGCTGCCACCAAGTATGGACAATATCTTGATTAATCAGCAATGGGAAGCCGTTGTGGAGCGAAAATGTAGCGAGGTGGCTAAGGGATGGGAGCAACATATCGCGCAACGCGAGGCTGACTTCCAAGTAATAGAGAGTCAGCTCCTCTCCCAGATTGAGTTTCTGAAGGCAGCTGCAAAGACAACGGACAGTACCCAGGGAATTTCCTATGTGACGCCCAGGCCCGAATCAAGCGAAGCGGTTGCTACGGAAACAAATGATATTCTTCTAAATATGCAAAAGGCACTGGAGACGCAAGAAATGGAGATCGTTACGTTAAAAGAACAGCTGGCCATACGATCAGCGGAATATGCGCGTCTGGCCGCCCAATATGACCCTTTCCGCTTGCATAACACTCTAAGCGAAAGCGGCGGTAACGGAGGAGCCGTCACAGGCACAGCGTTGCCGACAGAGCTACAGGCAGCGCATGAGCAGCGATTTTACTTATGGCTATAACTTGAGAGAATTGATTTGGCACACGGGCACATTAGTACTAAAAAAATTGATTTTAAAATTCCGAGAATTACGGAAGTTATACGAAAAAATACGAATTGCGGGTGAGTGGGCGGGTGTATCAGAAAAAATAAACAAACTCGTTCTGCCTAGGGCTTATAGGAACCTTGATACCAATTTTGGTTATCCTAGCTCTTGTACTTACTGAGATCCTTGCGCTCATACAGACAGACGGACAGACGGACATGGCTATATCGACTCGTCTTCTCATCCTGATCAAGAATATATATACTTTGTGGGGTCTGCCACGCCTCCTTCTGTGTGTTACATACATGCGCACAAAACTAGTATAGCCTTTCACCCTTTGGGTACAGGTTATAAAAATAATAATATTTATGACACTTAAATATATACAATGGAATATTAGAGGTTACCTCAACAACTGTATAGAATTACAAATACTAATTAATAAATTCCACCCAAATTATTTCGGCATACATACCTCCTAGGCAAAATTTCAACATTCTTAACGCCCAAAATGTCCTTAACTTCCAACATAAGGAGACTTCAATAGTTGGCACCAACTATGGGGGTCGCAAAGAAATAATAAAATGGGCAACACAATAGCCAAATTCATCCAAAATTCGAATCTAATACTAATGAACGATAAGTCACCTTGTTTACACTAAAACGCGTGCGTACACTTTTACGATGTAGAATATTCTGACTCGCAGCTATTGCTAGCTGCATACTTTTATTTAATTATTTTTCATCCCTTAATGCTATGCTGCGTTTGTAAGGTTAAGGTTAAGGTTTTATTGTACTCGTTGCAATTCGACTGAGTTGTTGACCACGACATGCTGAAGTGTTGATGGAATCCAAGTTTCCTTTTCATTTAGTACTTTTAGGATATGTGGAGCAAACGTTGCTGTGTCAGTCGATATTGTTATTTTTGGGGTGATTATGGTGATATCAGCTATTCTAGTCGTGCATCCAGAAGGTATGTCCAAAATTCCAAGGCTCGGTAATGCTACCACTTCATGGTAGTCTCCGCATGCTATGTGAGCTGACGTGTTTGTAAATATTTTTACAAGCCAGCGGTTTTTTCCATATAGCTTTTTGTAATATACATCTCCTGTGTATTCGACCATTTTGCATAATTGTTTGTTGCTCGGTTTAATTGGCGATAACTCGCAACTCTGGTCATTTGCATCTTTCCATGCCCAGCTTCCTTCGCATAGCCAAGTATCCTTGTTTTCATGCTGACAGCGATTCACCTCTGTGTCTGTCATGTGGTGGTATGCGTTTAGCTCGGTACTATAGATCAGAAACTCCGTTTGGATTTGCGGCATCCACCTCCCTACTTTGCCTTGAAGCGGCACTGGAACGATCTTGAAGAGACTGGCATGCTGGTTTACATATATGGGCAGCCTTGCATCTATTATAAGCACATTGTCCTTGAATATTGCCTGGGCCTTCATTAGCTTGTATATTAACTGCAATCTGTCAGGAGTCGTTCCACCTGGGAGAAGCTGGTTCCTCTGTAGTTTATGTTGAATTTTGTCCAGCTCTGCCAACATTTTCTTCGGCTCAATCAGGGAGGGGTGTACCTTTCCTTGATTAATATCCGTTACAAGCGCGAGGGCTGCGGATTGCAGATTTTCCGCTTCGTCAATCCAGTTTCGCACTTGATTTATCAGCATGAAGAACCTTATAGCTTTTTTAAAGATGAGAAAATTCTTCTTCAATGTGTCAGCCTCAATCGCTGCCACCAAGTATGGACAATATCTTGATTAATCAGCAATGGGAAGCCGTTGTGGAGCGAAAATGTAGCGAGGTGGCTAAGGGATGGGAGCAACATATCGCGCAACGCGAGGCTGACTTCCAAGTAATAGAGAGTCAGCTCCTCTCCCAGATTGAGTTTCTGAAGGCAGCTGCAAAGACAACGGACAGTACCCAGGGAATTTCCTATGTGACGCCCAGGCCCGAATCAAGCGAAGCGGTTGCTACGGAAACAAATGATATTCTTCTAAATATGCAAAAGGCACTGGAGACGCAAGAAATGGAGATCGTTACGTTAAAAGAACAGCTGGCCATACGATCAGCGGAATATGCGCGTCTGGCCGCCCAATATGACCCTTTCCGCTTGCATAACACTCTAAGCGAAAGCGGCGGTAACGGAGGAGCCGTCACAGGCACAGCGTTGCCAACAGAGCTACAGGCAGCGCATGAGCAGCGATTTTACTTATGGCTATAACTTGAGAGAATTGATTTGGCACACGGGCACATTAGTACTAAAAAAATTGATTTTAAAATTCCGAGAATTACGGAAGTTATACGAAAAAATACGAATTGCGGGTGAGTGGGCGGGTGTATCAGAAAAAATAAACAAACTCGTTCTGCCTAGGGCTTATAGGAACCTTGATACCAATTTTGGTTATCCTAGCTCTTGTACTTACTGAGATCCTTGCGCTCATACAGACAGACGGACAGACGGACATGGCTATATCGACTCGTCTTCTCATCCTGATCAAGAATATATATACTTTGTGGTGTCTGCCACGCCTCCTTCTGTGTGTTACATACATGCGCACAAAACTAGTATAGCCTTTCACCCTTTGGGTACAGGTTATAAAAATAATAATATTTATGACACTTAAATATATACAATGGAATATTAGAGGTTACCTCAACAACTGTATAGAATTACAAATACTAATTAATAAATTCCACCCAAATTATTTCGGCATACATACCTCCTAGGCAAAATTTCAACATTCTTAACGCCCAAAATGTCCTTAACTTCCAACATAAGGAGACTTCAATAGTTGGCACCAACTATGGGGGTCGCAAAGAAATAATAAAATGGGCAACACAATAGCCAAATTCATCCAAAATTCGAATCTAATACTAATGAACGATAAGTCACCTTGTTTACACTAAAACGCGTGCGTACACTTTTACGATGTAGAATATTCTGACTCGCAGCTATTGCTAGCTGCATACTTTTATTTAATTATTTTTCATCCCTTAATGCTATGCTGCGTTTGTAAGGTTAAGGTTAAGGTTTTATTGTACTCGTTGCAATTCGACTGAGTTGTTGACCACGACATGCTGAAGTGTTGATGGAATCCAAGTTTCCTTTTCATTTAGTACTTTTAGGATATGTGGAGCAAACGTTGCTGTGTCAGTCGATATTGTTATTTTTGGGGTGATTATGGTGATATCAGCTATTCTAGTCGTGCATCCAGAAGGTATGTCCAAAATTCCAAGGCTCGGTAATGCTACCACTTCATGGTAGTCTCCGCATGCTATGTGAGCTGACGTGTTTGTAAATATTTTTACAAGCCAGCGGTTTTTTCCATATAGCTTTTTGTAATATACATCTCCTGTGTATTCGACCATTTTGCATAATTGTTTGTTGCTCGGTTTAATTGGCGATAACTCGCAACTCTGGTCATTTGCATCTTTCCATGCCCAGCTTCCTTCGCATAGCCAAGTATCCTTGTTTTCATGCTGACAGCGATTCACCTCTGTGTCTGTCATGTGGTGGTATGCGTTTAGCTCGGTACTATAGATCAGAAACTCCGTTTGGATTTGCGGCATCCACCTCCCTACTTTGCCTTGAAGCGGCACTGGAACGATCTTGAAGAGACTGGCATGCTGGTTTACATATATGGGCAGCCTTGCATCTATTATAAGCACATTGTCCTTGAATATTGCCTGGGCCTTCATTAGCTTGTATATTAACTGCAATCTGTCAGGAGTCGTTCCACCTGGGAGAAGCTGGTTCCTCTGTAGTTTATGTTGAATTTTGTCCAGCTCTGCCAACATTTTCTTCGGCTCAATCAGGGAGGGGTGTACCTTTCCTTGATTAATATCCGTTACAAGCGCGAGGGCTGCGGATTGCAGATTTTCCGCTTCGTCAATCCAGTTTCGCACTTGATTTATCAGCATGAAGAACCTTATAGCTTTTTTAAAGATGAGAAAATTCTTCTTCAATGTGTCAGCCTCAATCGCTGCCACCAAGTATGGACAATATCTTGATTAATCAGCAATGGGAAGCCGTTGTGGAGCGAAAATGTAGCGAGGTGGCTAAGGGATGGGAGCAACATATCGCGCAACGCGAGGCTGACTTCCAAGTAATAGAGAGTCAGCTCCTCTCCCAGATTGAGTTTCTGAAGGCAGCTGCAAAGACAACGGACAGTACCCAGGGAATTTCCTATGTGACGCCCAGGCCCGAATCAAGCGAAGCGGTTGCTACGGAAACAAATGATATTCTTCTAAATATGCAAAAGGCACTGGAGACGCAAGAAATGGAGATCGTTACGTTAAAAGAACAGCTGGCCATACGATCAGCGGAATATGCGCGTCTGGCCGCCCAATATGACCCTTTCCGCTTGCATAACACTCTAAGCGAAAGCGGCGGTAACGGAGGAGCCGTCACAGGCACAGCGTTGCCGACAGAGCTACAGGCAGCGCATGAGCAGCGATTTTACTTATGGCTATAACTTGAGAGAATTGATTTGGCACACGGGCACATTAGTACTAAAAAAATTGATTTTAAAATTCCGAGAATTACGGAAGTTATACGAAAAAATACGAATTGCGGGTGAGTGGGCGGGTGTATCAGAAAAAATAAACAAACTCGTTCTGCCTAGGGCTTATAGGAACCTTGATACCAATTTTGGTTATCCTAGCTCTTGTACTTACTGAGATCCTTGCGCTCATACAGACAGACGGACAGACGGACATGGCTATATCGACTCGTCTTCTCATCCTGATCAAGAATATATATACTTTGTGGGGTCTGCCACGCCTCCTTCTGTGTGTTACATACATGCGCACAAAACTAGTATAGCCTTTCACCCTTTGGGTACAGGTTATAAAAATAATAATATTTATGACACTTAAATATATACAATGGAATATTAGAGGTTACCTCAACAACTGTATAGAATTACAAATACTAATTAATAAATTCCACCCAAATTATTTCGGCATACATACCTCCTAGGCAAAATTTCAACATTCTTAACGCCCAAAATGTCCTTAACTTCCAACATAAGGAGACTTCAATAGTTGGCACCAACTATGGGGGTCGCAAAGAAATAATAAAATGGGCAACACAATAGCCAAATTCATCCAAAATTCGAATCTAATACTAATGAACGATAAGTCACCTTGTTTACACTAAAACGCGTGCGTACACTTTTACGATGTAGAATATTCTGACTCGCAGCTATTGCTAGCTGCATACTTTTATTTAATTATTTTTCATCCCTTAATGCTATGCTGCGTTTGTAAGGTTAAGGTTAAGGTTTTATTGTACTCGTTGCAATTCGACTGAGTTGTTGACCACGACATGCTGAAGTGTTGATGGAATCCAAGTTTCCTTTTCATTTAGTACTTTTAGGATATGTGGAGCAAACGTTGCTGTGTCAGTCGATATTGTTATTTTTGGGGTGATTATGGTGATATCAGCTATTCTAGTCGTGCATCCAGAAGGTATGTCCAAAATTCCAAGGCTCGGTAATGCTACCACTTCATGGTAGTCTCCGCATGCTATGTGAGCTGACGTGTTTGTAAATATTTTTACAAGCCAGCGGTTTTTTCCATATAGCTTTTTGTAATATACATCTCCTGTGTATTCGACCATTTTGCATAATTGTTTGTTGCTCGGTTTAATTGGCGATAACTCGCAACTCTGGTCATTTGCATCTTTCCATGCCCAGCTTCCTTCGCATAGCCAAGTATCCTTGTTTTCATGCTGACAGCGATTCACCTCTGTGTCTGTCATGTGGTGGTATGCGTTTAGCTCGGTACTATAGATCAGAAACTCCGTTTGGATTTGCGGCATCCACCTCCCTACTTTGCCTTGAAGCGGCACTGGAACGATCTTGAAGAGACTGGCATGCTGGTTTACATATATGGGCAGCCTTGCATCTATTATAAGCACATTGTCCTTGAATATTGCCTGGGCCTTCATTAGCTTGTATATTAACTGCAATCTGTCAGGAGTCGTTCCACCTGGGAGAAGCTGGTTCCTCTGTAGTTTATGTTGAATTTTGTCCAGCTCTGCCAACATTTTCTTCGGCTCAATCAGGGAGGGGTGTACCTTTCCTTGATTAATATCCGTTACAAGCGCGAGGGCTGCGGATTGCAGATTTTCCGCTTCGTCAATCCAGTTTCGCACTTGATTTATCAGCATGAAGAACCTTATAGCTTTTTTAAAGATGAGAAAATTCTTCTTCAATGTGTCAGCCTCAATCGCTGCCACCAAGTATGGACAATATCTTGATTAATCAGCAATGGGAAGCCGTTGTGGAGCGAAAATGTAGCGAGGTGGCTAAGGGATGGGAGCAACATATCGCGCAACGCGAGGCTGACTTCCAAGTAATAGAGAGTCAGCTCCTCTCCCAGATTGAGTTTCTGAAGGCAGCTGCAAAGACAACGGACAGTACCCAGGGAATTTCCTATGTGACGCCCAGGCCCGAATCAAGCGAAGCGGTTGCTACGGAAACAAATGATATTCTTCTAAATATGCAAAAGGCACTGGAGACGCAAGAAATGGAGATCGTTACGTTAAAAGAACAGCTGGCCATACGATCAGCGGAATATGCGCGTCTGGCCGCCCAATATGACCCTTTCCGCTTGCATAACACTCTAAGCGAAAGCGGCGGTAACGGAGGAGCCGTCACAGGCACAACCGGAACGCGGGACTCACTGCCCGAGTACGTTTTGAAAGCCGACCTCGACAATGCGCTAATGATGGTGCACCAGCGCGACATGCGGGTTGAGGAGATGATACTCGAACTGGTGCAATTGATGGAGGAGCGCGACCATCTGCAACTTAAACTATCGGACACATTGCGTCAATTAGAAGCCGAACGAGTCCGTGCCAGCGATGTGGAGCGTAAGTAAAATCCTAATGGATGTATTTCTAAATTAACACATTAATGTTATAGCGTCCATTCTAGCTGCAAAAACAGGTGCAACAAGTGTAGGCAGCAACTGCGGCACAGCTTCATCCTCAGCTGGCTCCGGTAGTCCCAGAAAGGTCAGCAGCAGCAGTGATTTGTCAGCGGGGGCGACTTAAAGCAAAAGTGAGTGAGCGGGAAAAAAAAGGTCGCAAGATCAACATTAACATAGATACAAATTCGAAACTTGCTGAAAACCACCAATCGGTCTAGCAATAGGATTGAATTATATACCCTGTACCCAAAGACAAAGTGTATTAGTGCGAATGTAATAGTATGTAATTTTGAGAAGGTAGCTTGGTAGCGAAGACTCCACGAAGTATGTATATATATTTTTTCTGATCACAGCCAGAATCATCAAACTCTTAAGAAGGACCAGTAAGTGTGTGTGTGTGTTTCTATACCCTGTATCTAAAAGATACAAGAGTATATAAGGTTTGCGAGAAGTGGAAAATGTAACAAGCAGAAGGAGGCGTGGTAGACCCCGCAAAATATATAATCGTTGATCATGAACATCTGGATCTCAGAGAGATAGAAACACAAAATGTTGTACATATAAGGCATCTGATATGTTTACTGAGTACGAGTTTGCTTTATTTTTTTATGCACCCTCACTCTTTCCGATATTGGGGATTTTCCGTATCTCCCGTAATTCTTAGCATTTTTCAATCAAATTTGGCAAATACATTTAGTTGTTAACTATTTTGTCAGTATATGTACTATCTTATGTACATATCTATACTAATATTATAAAGAGGAAAGATTTGATTGTTTGTTTGAATTGAAAAGGCTCCGAATCTACTGGACCGATTTAATGGATTCTTTCACTGTTGGGATAGTGTAGTTTCGACTCGACGGTTAACATGGGCTATATTATATTTGCAAAAAATAATGGAATCCTTACTAAAACGCCAATAATGTAACCATGGGTCTGGTTGTTCATGTACTGGTTGAGGCGCTTCTCGTTTTTGATGATAGTTTCCATGTTTTCCTTTATTCTTTCTGTAGTACCTATGTCGAAGAACATGACAAACCTTCTTTTCCTTTCCTTTGTGTTATAATTTTGTTTCTTTCCTGTATGTTGTCTACTTTTGCTTTCATTGCACTACTAACTGATGTACAATATTCTCCCAGTTTTTCACAAATGGAGGCTGTTTCATCCAGGAAATCATCGGCTTGATTTAGAAATTCGAAGTAAACTTGCATATTGTAGAAAAATAGCAGTAGCCAACTAAAATTTATTATAATAATTATTGCGGTTCGATCTTCCATATGTTGAATGCTTAACCTACTTGTATTAGTTGTAGGTATTGTTGCGGTACCTGCAACTTGCAGGATCATAAGGCTAATAATTGCTTTTGTTGGCGTAATTTTTGCTGCCCTACTGCATCGCTGCCTTTTTCCATCGGCTGGCTCGTTGTTTTGTTCGTTACCTTGTTCGTCGCTGTCTTGAGTTGGCAGCAGACAAATTTTATTTAACGACCTTTGGACTTATCCATTATTGATTTTAACTGTGACTACTCGGACTTTACTATCTTGTCCTTTAGTAGTTTTAGTTATTCGTCCCATAGGCCATCTGGCTGGGGGCGTGTTCTCTTGTTTAATAAGAACAAGCTGTCCCTATTTAAGATTCGACTTTTCATGACGCCATTTTGTTCGTTGTTGAAGTGACACCAGATAGTCCTCTTTCCATTTTCTCCAGAATTCCCCTCTTATGCGTTGTAAATGTCTCCATCTATCCAGAGATCCAATTCTTCGATTATCATCAAAATGTTCTGGAGCTCCAATTAGTGGTCTTCCCACAAGAAAGTGTCCTGCGTCATAATTTCTTCCCCATGGTCATCATTGTTCCGATTAAACAGGGGGAGTGAGTTTAACACTGCCTCAATTTGACAAAGCAATGTTGTAGACCAGCGGTGGGCACGAAATTTTAGTTTGGGAGTCTTACAACAACATCTACAACAAAAACTACCGTTTGGGTTATGAGAACATCATAAACTGCGAGCAAAAAATTAGGAAAAAAAAGTACACCGAAAAAAATTTTGATCACATTTATGAACATTCATTTAATAATTTTTCGAAGTCTATTTCCTCTTCACTTAAAGCAATTCGTAATAAATCTGATAAATTTATGTCACTTAATTTATTCCTATAAACATTTTATGAGGTTCTTCTTTTAATACACCCTTAGAAAGCGTTGGCTTTAGCTTAGCGACAAGTTCCAACCTTTCTCTATCATTCAACATGCCATATGCATTTTCATGGTGATTAAAATAGTGCCGCCGAATATTATAATTTTTTTTTAACATACTGATGATCCCACATTTAATAGTGAAAAAAATACCGCGTCTCAATCTCGGAAATATTAATTTCATTAGCCATTGTTCAGTTTTAAATCAAATATAAGTAAGATTATAAGTAAATAACTTGACGAAAATCATAAAAGTTTTACTGAAACACTATAATTTATAATTTAACAAAACACTTTGAATGTCAGTGCATAAGTGACCGTCGCGGGTATTGCAAATCGATCATCAGTACACACACTGTGTGTATTTTGTTATTGCATCGATCTATTTGTGCGTCTGGCTGGCGACAACACTGCATGTATTTTGTTTTTGTAAGTTTGCTTGAGATCGGTACTTTGCTTGTGCGTCTGGCTGTCGCCAGTTACCAAAACATAACGGAAAGAGCCCTGGGAGCCCAAAGAGCCACTACGTGCCCATCGCTGTTGTAAACTCTTCGAACGTGAAACTGCTTTCGCCGATGACTCGCCTGAGATGGTGTTTCACCGACTTAACTCCAGCTTCCCATAATCCTCCCATATGGGGGCTTGCCGGCGGGATAAAGTGCCAATGGATGCCTTCTTTTTCGAGAACCGGCGCCAGGTTGTTGTTGCTTTTTACTGCGGCAACAAGCTCCTTGTCCTATATTCTGGCTGCTCCCACGAAGTTGGTGCCATTGTCTGAGTATAGGTGCTCACTTTTCCCGCGTCTAGCGAAAAATCGCCGTAATGCTTCCAAAAAACGTTCAGCTGACAGGTCGCTAACGGCGTCCAAATGTATAGCTTTTGTTGCCATACAAACAAAAAGGCATATGTATCCTTTGAACGCTTCTTGTCCTCTACCTTTTGAACATCGGATTTGAAAGGGTCCAGCGTAGTCGATGCCAGTATTTTGGAATAGATGATCACCTGTTACTCGATACACTGGCAAATTCCCCATTAGTTGGCTGACCATTTCGTTTTTATACCTTATGCAGGTAATACATTTTTGTAGATACTTTTTCAAGGAGTTTCGTAGTCCAAAGATCCAGTACTCTCCTTGAATGTAGTTTCTCATTAGCTTCAGTCCGCCATGCAAGGTTTCCTTATGTGCTTTATTTATAAGAAGCCAAGCCAAATGTGACTTTCCAATAATTATTGGATGTTTTACATCATATGGCAGTAAAGCGTTTTGAAGCCGGCCTCCCACTCGTAACACGCCATCTCCATCCAAAAAGGGGTTGAGCGCCAGTAGTTTACTCTTTGCTTCTAGCGGTCTTTTCTTTTGGAGTAAAATAATTTCTCTACCAAAATCTAGCTGTTGTTGTAATTTGACAACAACTGTTTTGGCATTTTTAAATTCGTTTACACTCAGGTGTGTCGATTGTCGGGCTCTTCCTCGTAGTTTATAGCTATGAAGCGTAATACATAAGCTATTACACTCTTTAGCTTGTCGATTGAGGAATACTTTCTTAGTAATGGAATTAGGCTGTTTTCTTCTTCTGTTATAGTTGAAACTATAATGGATTCCGGTTCGTCAGGTTGGACCCATTGACTTGAAGGTTTTGCCAGCCAGTGTGGTCCTTTCCACCAAATGTCACAAGCTGCCAATTGTTTTGGAGATATTCCCCTTGATGCCACGTCTGCTGGGTTGTCTTCTGATGGTATGTAGTTCCATTTTACGTTGGGTAGTTTTTTGTTTATATCGTCAACTCGTGTTTTGACGAATTTGTCTTTGCTGAGCTTATTCTGAATCCAAGCCAGAGTAATTTGAGAGTCAATCCATGCCTGCAATTTGCTTTGATCTCCTATTATAGCTTGTATTTTATATAGAAGTTTACTCAACAAATGAGCTGCGCATAGTTTCAATTTGGGAATTGTCTTTTTGTTTTTTTATCGGATTCACCTTACTTTTTGCTGCCAGCAAGGTGATCTTAGCTCCGATTTTGGTATACACCACGGGTGCATATGCTTTTTCAGAGGCATCGCAACGCCCATGTAGTTCGATGTCGTCCGTAGATGAGTTTCCAGACCCAGACCAGCGGGGTATGCTGATATTCACCAAACTTGGTAATTCGCTTGCATATTCTTGCCAGAGTTTTGCCAGATTGGGGTCTAACTGTATATCCCATGTAAGCGGCAGTTTCCATAGCTCCTGAATAAAGCATTTTCCTTGTAGTGTTACCGGTGTAAGCCATCCCAGTGGATCGAAGATTCTTGCCAATTGTGATAGAATTAAACGCTTTGTAATGCGATTTAATTTTGGACAATCGACGAAAAATGTGAAGACAACCGTGATAAGATCATCCATGTAGAAGTCCTCTTTTATTGTTGTCAGCAATCGATGGTTTTCCTTGCTGTAGTAGTTTGCCAACTCTTGAAGACAACGGGCGGCTAAAAATGGTGCTGCTGAAGTTCCATACGTTACTGTAGTCAACTTGAACTCTTTCACTGCCATTTTTGGACTATCTCTCCAGAGGATATATTGGTATTCTTGGTCGTCTTTGGCTATTTTAATTTGGCGATACATTTTCTCGATGTCAGCTGTCATCACGTATTGCCATTGTCGCCATTTTATCAAGATATCGAAAATATCCTTTTGAATTTTAGGACCGACCAACATTACGTCATTGAGGCTTAGCCCATTGGAGGTTTTTGCGGACGCGTCAAACACTACTCTAAGCTTGGTAGTTAGACTGTTAGGTCGGATGACCACTTGATGTGGCAAGTAGTATTTTCCTTGGCCAATTGTGTGGACTGGTTCCATGTGTCCCAGTCTTAAGTATTCTTGCATGAAATCAC